TTTCAAAGACTCAGTGTGAGAAGAAAAAGAAATTTCACTATTTTGTGAAGAATTTTATGTTAATTAATGTTGAAGTAATATGTTAGCTACATTGGATTAAATAAAATACCAAAATTTGGCTGAACACAGTGAGTCTGATGCGACAGATTGCCTGAACCCAGGAGTTGGAGGCTTCTGTGAGCCGAGATGCCTCCATTGCACTCCAGCCTGGGCAACAAGAGTGAAACTCCATCTCAAAAGAAAAAGAAAAGAAAAGGCCCTGTGAAGAGTCAAACCCCCTCCACGATCCGATGGTCAAGCAGGAAGGTCAAGCAGAAAGGTCAGGCAGGAAGGTCAAGCAGGAAAGTCAAGCAGAAAGGTCAGACAGGAAGGTCAAGCAGGAAAGTCAAGCAGAAAGGTCAGACAGGAAGGTCAAGCAGAAAGGTCAGGCAGGAAGGTCAGGCAGAAAGGTCAGACAGGAAGGTCAAGCAGGAAAGTCAAGCAGAAAGGTCAGACAGGAAGGTCAAGCAGAAAGGTCAGGCAGGAAGGTCAGGCAGGAAGGTCAAGCAGAAAGGTCAGGCAGGAAGGTCAAGCAGAAAGGTCAGACAGGAAGGTCAAGCAGGAAAGTCAAGCAGAAAGGTCAGGCAGGAAGGTCAAGCAGGAAGGTCAAGCAGAAAGGTCAGGCAGGAAGGTCAAGCAGGAAGGTCAAGCAGAAAGGTCAGGCAGGAAGGTCAGGCAGGAAGGTCAAGCAGGAAGGTCAGGCAGGAAGGTCAAGCAGGAATATCAAGCAGGAAGGTCAGGTAGGAAGGTCAAACTGGAAGGACAGGGCCACAGACTTGAAAAATGTGGGAGAAAAGTACACACTAGATAGCCCACTACCAGGCATTTCACTGATCAGTGCGTGCTTTGCTTCCCCAGCTGGCTTAGCTCCTGCCTGCAAATCAATTGGAGTCTGGGGGGTACCTCGCCTTCAAAGATATTTGCAACCAAAAGGGGCCTTGAGCAGTCGTTTGTTTTCATTTTCACTTCGTAGCACAGCCAGACGGTGTTCCGATCAGAAAGGATGGGTCTATTATAAAAGTCATCGACGAATGTGTCTGGATCCATTTGTACCACCGTGTTTCTGAAGACAAAAGAGAGAAACCAGCCAATTCGGAGAGCGCTCCCTGGAGCCCTGCGGGCTGATGTCCTCTGCACACAGCTCCCTGGACAACCCTGGGCCGCCCCCATCCCTCCACAGGCCTGAGAATTTCTGCTGCCTTCCCAGGCAGGAAGACCAGGGAGAGAACAAGAGAAGGAGGTGGTGGCAGGGGCAGCAGGGCCAGGGCGAGGCCTCCCTGCTCAGGGCCCAGCTCTGGTCTTTCCACGGGTACATTCTTCACTCTCCCAGTATTTCTGCCCAACCACTCTCCAAACCATTAGGAAAACGCAAAAGAGAATAAAGTTCTTGCCTGAGCATTATGGCTCACACCTATAATCCCAGCACTTTGGGAGGCCGAGGCAGGCAGATCACTTGAGGTCAGGAGTTTGAGACAAGCCTGGCCAACACGGTGAAACCCGGTCTCTACTAAAAACACAAAAAAATGAGCCAGGCGTGGTGGCAGGTGCCTGTAATCCCAGATACTCCGGAGGCTGAGGCAGGAGAATCGCTGGAAACCGCCAATCGGAGGTCGCAGTGAGCTGAGATGGCGCCACCACACTCCAGCCTGGGCAACAGAGTGAGATTCTCTCAAAAAAAAAAAAAAAAAAAAAAAAAATGAAACTCTTCACCCCCAAATGATAGCTTTTAAACTTTCAGCTCAGTTCCCTCCTGACATTTCAACTCTGTATATTATTATTTTTAGATCATAGCAGAACTGAAACCTGAGGCCGAGGCCACTCTTGTAAGTGCTGTGAGGTTCTGAGCTCGTGTGATGCTGACCTGGGCCTGCAGGGGCCATTCCCATCTTACAGAGGAGGTGCCAGAGGCGCAGAGAGGCAGGGTAACCTGCCCAGGCCATGGAGCTGGGGCCCCTTTCCAGGCCAGCCCTGTCCAGCCTCTGCAGCATGGGCCCTGCAGGAGGGAGCCATTGGGGACTGGGCTCTTTTCTCGCTACATTTTAAAATAAGAGCATTTCTCCTGACCATCGACTTTTTCCCCATATTTCAAGTTATGGCGATTGTGGAGGAAGAGCGTGTGTTTGGGGTCATCTGCATCTTCCTGTGCCCACAGTGGAGACATCCTTGGGAGGGATGATTTATCTTGTGCTTCAGAGACCACTCCCTCCCCAACACCCTCACATAAGAAAGACTTTGTATTTAAAACAAAGTAAATCTTACAGAAAGTTCATCAAAGCACTGTGAATTAAATTCCATATTGATCCAATCATCCTTTAGTTCAGTTCTGCCCGTTCCAAGAATGGTGGGAAGCACACAGAGGGAGCACCCTCCCAAGGTGGGGAGCACCAGCCTGGCAATGACTTTCAGGGGAGAGTCTCAGCAGGGGCCTGGGCTGGGACAGGTCGGGGAGGCAGCCCATTCAGAAGCAGCAATGGGGCAACCACACAGCAGAGCCTAGAGCCTGGCTGGGAGTGGGGGCGCCAGGGAAGCCAGAGGAGAGGGAGCCCAGGCCTGGGGATGGGGCAGGGGCAGGGAAAGGCCAGGGCTGAGACCCAGCTGGGCTGCCAGGCAGGAAGGAGCAGCAGAGGGCAGAGCGGGCAGCGGTACCTGATCTGTGCTTCTGGCCACAGCCTCCTTGGCAGACTTGTCCCTGCTTGTCTGGGGTGCTTAGTTTCACTTTTGTTTCCAGGGCCCTTGCTGTAAGTCTGCCCTCCCAAAAGTCACCTCCCAGGGCCTGGTGAGGTGGCTCCACCCTCTTCCTTCTGGGGGACTGGGTGGGAGGGCCTGGGGTGCTTTAGATTCTTGGGGCTCCTTCCTTTCTCTACTTTCCTCAGGTTTGGCAGGGGAAGTAGATGGAAACCTGATGGAGACAGCTCACCTCCCCTCCTACCATCCCCAGCTCCCTCCCCAGGTACAGTTTGCAAAGGAACAAAGAAAGGAATAGAAGGTGGGTTGAGGTGCCTGTAATCCTAGCAAATTGGGAGGCTGAGACGGGTGCATCACCTGAGGTCAGGAGTTCGAGACCAACCCGGCCAATTGTACTCCAGCCTGGGCAACAAGAGTGAGATTCCGCCTCAAAAGATAAAACAAATGAAAGGAGGCCGGGCGCAGTGGCTCACGCCTGTAATCCCAGCACTTTGGGAGGCCGAGGCAGGTGGATCACGAGGTCAAGAGATCGAGACCATCCTGGTCAACATGGTGAAACCCCGTCTCTACTAAAAATACAAAAAATCAGCTGGGCCTGGTGGTGCATGCCTGTAATCCCAGCTTCTCAGGAGGCTGAGGCAGGAGAATTGCCTGAACCCAGGAGGCGGAGGTTGCGGTGAGCTGAGATCGCGCCATTGCACTCCAGCCTGGGTAACAAGAGCAAAACTCCGTCTCAAAAAACAAAAAAAACAAAAACAAATGAAAGGAATTGAAGCCACAGAGGGGAATGTGGATCCAGACCAGGGCTGATTCCACAGGCAAGATGCCACTCTCCTAGTGGATAGGGCAGGCTGCCACCCCCCTACCATCCCTCTGACCTTCCTTTGTCACTCAGCCTCCTGGCAGGACTCTGGGCCTGGTGTGAAGTGAGAAATGGGGTCAGGGCTAGGACTACATCTCCAGCAGAGCCAGTGCCCATTACCTAGCCCAGTTCCCAGGCAGCACTGGGAGAGAAAGATAGTGATCCTGACAGTCAGAGGAGGTCCCAAGCACAGAGAGGCTGACGCACTGTCCCCAGGTCACATAGCAAAGCAACAGCAGAGCTGGAGTGCTGGCCACGGCTTCTTGTGCCATCTCTCTCCCGCAGCTAGCTACTTTGAGGTCCACCCGGCACACCCTGACAGCCCCCCAGACCCTGCATGGCCCCTGAGGTCACAGGAGCTTGGGCGGGCATTTAGAAGGTTTCTGGGAATGGCGTCCCCTCCACCCTATCTGTCCTAATGTTGGGGCTACAGTCCATGGAAGATTCCAGAATGAGCAGGGTCCTGCCAGGAGAGACATGAGAACTACACACTGCAGTGCTGGTTAATCAGAAAGCTGAGTCTCCCAGGCTGAGAAGCAGGGAGGATGGAAAGGAGGGTGGAACCCTTTCCTGGTCTTGCCCGAAGGCAGCATTCCCAGTGCTCCTCCAGTGAATTCCTTCAGCAGAGACCTCGTGGTGTCTAGGACTGGCCTTGGCTTAGGTGTTGTCTTCAGGAGGAGGGGAGGCCTGGCCTGGCCGCTGTGGCCTGTGTTTGTGCTGGAAAACGAGACCCGATCCGGAGTCCAAGAGTGGGTTCTTAGAACTCTTACAGGAAAGGACTCGAGGTGAGCCACAGGGTGTGGTGAAGTTATGATCAGTTATTAGAAGCTCCTGCACTACAGACTAGGGACCCCTCAGAAGGCAGAAGGAAGACACCCTGGCTTAACGCTTTTTTCTTTCTTTTTTTTTGAGAGGGAGTCTTGCGCTGTCACCAGGATGCAGTGCAATGGCACGATCTCAGCTCACTGCAAACTCCGCCTCCTAGGTTCAAGCGATTCTCCTGCCTCAGCCTCCCGAGTAGCTAGGACTATAGGTGTGCATCCACACTTGGCTAATTTTTGTATTTTTAGTAGAGACAGGGTTTCACCATGTTGGCCAGGCTGGCCTTGAACTCCTGACCTCAGGTGATGCACCCACCTCAGCCTCCCAAAGTGCTGGATTACAAGCACCCCAACCCGCCTTCTATTCCTTTCTTTGTTCCTTTGCAAACTGTACCTGGGAGGTATTGGGGTTGGGAGGAGGGGAGGTGAGCTGTCTCCATCAGGGTTCCCCTGTCAAGCCTGAGGAAAGTAGAGAAAAGAAGGAGCCCCAGGAATCTAAAACACCCCAGGCCCTCCCACCCAGTCCCCCAAAAGGAGGAGGGTGCAGCCACCTCACCAGGCCCTGGGAGGTGACTTTTGGGAGAGCAGCCTTACAGCAAGGGCCCTGGAAACAAAAGTGAAACTTAGCGCCCCAGACAAGCAGGGACAAGTCTGCCAAGGAGGCTGTGGCCAGAAGCACAGATCAGGTACCGCTGCCCCTTCCTGCCTGGCAACCCAGCTGGGTCTCAGCCCTGGCCTTTCCCTGCCCCTGCCCCATCCCCAGGCCTGGGCTCCCTCTCCTCTGGCTTCCCTGGCGCCCCCACTCTCAGCCAGGCTCTAGGCTCTGCTGTGTGGTTGCCCCATTGCTGCTTCTGAATGGGCTGCCTCCCCGACCTGTCCCAGCCCAGGCCCCTGCTGAGACTCTCCCCTGAAAGTCATTGCCAGGCTGGTGCTCCCCACCTTGGGAGGGTGCTCCCTCTGTGTGCTTCCCACCATTCTTGGAACGGGCAGAACTGAACTAAAGGATGATTGGATCAATATGGAATTTAATTCACAGTGCTTTGATGAACTTTCTATAAGATTTACTTTGTTTTAAATACAAAGTCTTTCTTATGTGAGGGTGTCAGGGAGGGAGTGGTCTCTGAAGCACAAGATAAATCATCCCTCCCAAGGATGTCTCCACTGTGGGCACAGGAAGATGCAGATGACCCCAAACACATGCTCTTCCTCGAAAATCGCCATAACTTGAAATATAGGAGAAAAACTCAATGATCAGTAGAAATGCTTTTACTTGAAAATTTAGTGAAAAGAGAGCCTGATCCGCAACGGCTCCCTCCTGCAGGGCCGGTGCTGCAGAGGCTGGTCAGGGCTGGCCTGGAAAGGGGCCCCAGCTCCATCTGCCCAGCTCCGTGTCCTGGGCAGGTTACCCTGCCTCTCTGTGCCTCTGGCACCTCCTCTTTAAGATGGGAATGGCCCTGCAGGCCCAGGTCAGCATCACAGGAGCTCAGATCCTCGCAGCACTTAGAAGAGTGGGCCTCGGAATGGAGGTGCTATCCGGTTTTTTTTTTTTTTAATGACAGGCCTTGCTAGGCACAATGGCTCATGCCTGGAATCCCAAAACTCTGGGAAGCTGAGAGGGGAGGATCACTAGAAGCCAGGAGTTCCAGACCAGCCTGGGCAACATAGGGAAACCCCTTATCTACTAAAACTAAGAAAAATAATAATAACGTGAATAGGTAAAATGCCAGAAATTAATTGAACTTAAATACTAAGAACTCTTATTTTGAAGTGGAGAGTTTTATTCACTTCTCTTATTTTTAATGGGTTGGCGGATGGGCGGCAGAAATACTGGGAGGATGAGGGTTCTGCCCCTGGAAAGGCCAGAGTTAGGCCTGAGCTGGGAGAGGTCACCTTGGCCCTGCTGCCCCTGCCAGCATCCCCTCCTCTTCCCCCTCCCTGGTCTTCCTGCTTGGGAAGGCTGCAGAAATGATCAGGACTAGGAGGCTTGAAATTCTCAGAGGTTTTCCAGAAAGCAGAATAGAAAGTAGAAGGGCAACCACCAATCAGAGAAGCCAGAGAAAGGAAGCTCAGACCCTCAGGGAGACAAGAAGTGAGCACAGGGGTCCGGGCCCACAGGAACACACTTTGCAATATAATATTACATTTTAAAAAGAAAGATCCTGGCCAGGCGCGCTCACGCCTATAATCCCAACACTTTGAGAGGCCAAGAAGGGCGGATCACCTGAGGTCAGGAGTTCAAGACCAGCATAGTGAAACCCTGTCTCTAATAAAAACACAAAAGTTAGCTGGGTGTGGTGGCAGGCATCTATAATCCCAGCTACTTGGGAGGCTGAGGCAGGAGAATCGCTTGAACCTGGAAGGCGGAGGATGCAGCGAGCCGAGATCACATCACTGCACTCCAGGCTAGGCGACAGAGCGAGACTCCATCTCAAAAAAAAAAAAAAAAAAAAAAAAATAAGCAGTTGGGTTTGAAAAGTGGCTTGAGCCTGGGGTGACTCCAGAAGGTACTCCCTGCATCTTCGGTTTTCCCCTTTCTGTTGCACAGAAACGTGATGTCTCTGCTAGCAGCCGAAACATTCAGCTTACAGTTTGACAACCGGCGGCGGCGGCGTGGAAAGAAAGGGCCTTCCTACCCCAGGAGGGCATACTTGTGTTACCAGCTGACGCCGCAGAATGGCTCCACGCCTACCAGAGGCTACTTTGAAAACGAGGTGCCACACGGGCTCTCTGGGCACAGGACCGGCAGGGGCTAACCCCATCCGATGTGTGCAGAAAATACGTGAAATGCCTGCCTAGAAATTTCTCAATTGCTGACCTCACACCCTCCGTGTTTTCCTAACCCTCGGTCCCTGCCTCGGTTTTGGCTTAGCTGGGTCTGAGTGGCCCAGCTTCCCTGGGACGCTCCCCATTCCTTCCCATCCCCTGACCTCCCAAGAAGCCATCCCTTCTGTAGAATCCCTTCTGTAGAATGCTCCTTCTGCCCCTCTTTGAGGAAGCTGACTTTTACTTATTCTCCCGATCTCAGCTCAGTCACCACTTTGGGGAAGCTGAGGGGCGGCGCCGCGATCTGAGTGCAACTCCATCACATCCCTGCCTTCCGCTCTGCTGCCTGCCCTCACCTGCCCCGCCTCCTCCCAACCCCCTCACCCCCCCGGCTCTCACCTGCTCTTTAGGATCCCCAGGTTGGACACAGCCTCCTGGGCAGGTGTCCAAAGGCAAAGTCGACAGAGCTTTGGGACTGGGGCATGGAGGTGTCCTCTCCTCCTCTGGACGCTGGATCTTTGTCCAATTTAGAGAAAGCTGTGGAAATCCTGGGACAAATGAATTAACACAGGGGTGCCTGAGTGCAGGGCTGTACAAACCAAGAAAGGCAGGAAGTGGGTGCTTGCCAGGCTACACACTAGAAAGTTCACCGGACAGACCACCTCCGCCCCCCCATCCCCATCCCAGCCCCCCTACCCCCGTCCCAGCCCCCCTCCCCTCTGCCACCAGTCACGTGAATCCCGGCCTCTGTCTTCTTATCTTCCTTCTCTCTGTTTGGGACCCTCTCCAGAAAAATCGCCATGCAGAAATTTGCTTTATTGACGAGATTGAGTCCATGGGACTGGACAAAACCCAGTGCTACGAAGTCACCTGTTACCTCACGTGGAGCCCCTGTCCCTCCTGTGCCCAGAAGCTGGTTGCCTTCGCCAAGGCTCAAGACCATCTGAACCTGCGCATCTTCGCCTCCCGCCTGTACTACCACTGGCGCCGGCGCTACAAGGAGGGGCTGCAGCTTCTGTGGAAATCCCAGATCCCCGTGGAGGTCATGGGCCTCCCAGGTAGGAAGGAGGCTTTGCAGTTCCAAGAGGCCAAAACCGCGGGGTGGGGGTGGAGGTGGGGGGGAATCTGTGGGAGGTCAGGAAGGAAGGATTGTGGCCCAGTTGAGGCCCAAGATCCGACGCCACCCAGGAGGGAGAATTCCCCTGAGAGAGCACTGTCCAGGGAGAGGAAGAGAGGAGAGGGGAAAGGAAGGAGGAGCTCCTGGCGCTGCAGCTGCTGCCCCACCTGGCTGCTTTCTCCTCTTTCATCTCAGAGTTTACTGACTGCTGGGAAAACTTTGTGGATCACGGGAAACCGCCTCCCTTCAACCCCTCTAAGAAGTTACAGGAGTTAGGTGAAGCAAGTCGATCCATAAAGAGACGGCTGGAGAAGATAAAGGTGAGATGCTGTCCTGCTGCTGCCCACTGCCCCCTCACCGCCGGCCTCAGCCCCACTCCTGATCACGCCTCTGCCCTGCTCTTCCCCTTACTTTTTTTTTCTTTTCGCTTTGGAGACAGGGTCTCACTCTGTCACCCAGGCAGGAGCGCAGTGGTGCGATCTCAGCTCACTGTGCGGCCTCTGCCTCCCAGCTTCAAGCGATTCTCATGCCTCAGCCTCCCATGTAGCTGGGAATACAGGCACCCGCCACCATGCCCAGCTAATTTTTGCATTTTTAGTGGAGATAGGGTTTTACCATGCTGCCCAGGGTGGTCTTGAACTCTTGGCCTCAAGTGATCCACCTGCTGCAGCCTCCTAAAGTGCTGGGATTACAGGTGTGAGCCACCGGGTCTGGCCCCACCACCTGCTTCCTTCTTGTGTTCTCCTCTCACACCAAGGGCTCCCAGCTCCTCCCTCTCTCCCTCTTTTGTTCTTTTAGATTCTAGGGGTACATGTGCAGGGTTATTACATGGGTATACTGTGTGATGCTGAGGCTTGAGTCACCCAATCTACTGGAACATGGCATCCAATAGGTAGTTTTTCATCCCTGGTCCCCCTCCTGCCCCCGCTTCTTTTGGGGTCCCCAGTATCTATTATTTCCATCTTGATGCCCATGTGTACCCCTTACCATATACAAAAATTAACTCGGCTGGACACGGTAACTCATGCCTGTAATCTCAGCATTTTGGGAGGCTGAGACGGGTGGATCACAAGGTCAGGAGTTCGAGACCAGCCTGGCCAACATGGCGAAACCCTGTCTCTACTAAAAATACAAAAATTAGCTGGGCATGGTGGTGGGTGCCTATCATCCCAGCTGCTCGGGAGGCTGAGGCAGGAGAATTGCTTGAATCTGCGAGGTGGAGGTTGCAGTGAACCGATATTGAACCACTGCACTTCAGCCTGAGTGACAGAGCGAGACTCCATCCCGAAAAAAGAAAAAAATTAACTCAAGATGTGTGGGGCATGATGACTCATGCTTGTAATCCCAGCACTTCAGGAGGCCAAGGTGGGTGGATTGCTTGAGCCCAGGAGTTCAAGACCAGCCTGGGCAACATGGCAAATCCCCATCTCTACAAAAATATGAAAATCAGCCAGGCATGGTGGCATGTACCCATGGTCTCAGCTGTTCGGGAGGGTGAGGTGGGATGATCGAGTGAGCTCAGGGAGGTGAAGGCTGTAGTGAGCGAGATCATGCCACTGCACTGTAGCCTGGGCAACAGAGTGAGACTTTGCTTTTTTTTTTTTTTT